TGGCAACATAACAATTGGTTGTATGTTATTAAGTAAAAGCCTAGGGAAAGTATGATTTTTGTTTTCAGTGAATTGCCAACATATCTGGTTGTTCATATATGGTTGTTGTCACTGTAGTTATGCTAATGGAGAGCCAACTGAAAATGCAGCGAGGCTTTATAAATGGTTCTCAGAGGTTGGACTACAAATTCATTTTTAATAATTTTTATGGATGCACATGTGTATGGGTCTTTTGTACTACATATTGATTGCCTCTTTTTTGGTTTGGCTGCAGCCTGCAGAAGAACAGAGGGGAGGTTGAACGGGAGGAGTTGGTCACTATATTCGGGTGAGAAAATAATGCTTCTGCTGTGTTCTGAAGAAGTGGATGTACTAAATTGAGATGGCCATATAAAACCCTTTTGTTATATTACCTTTCCTTTTAGTATTGAAATTGAGTTACTATAGGAGATTAAATTGAGGTCTGAAATATAAATCATGAAAACTGAGACCTGAGATATACATCCCATCATCCTTTCCTGTAATCTGAAACTGAGAACTGAAGTCATAATAACCTGCAACCTGATCATTACAAGGTTTTTGATATTGGCCAATTTAGTTACTCTGGTGCTGGTTTTTATCATTGCAATTTATTTTGATATTGTTCAAGAGCTTTTATTCATTGGAAGGGTTTGTGCTTGTGAGTAAATCTGCTGATTTACCTAACCATTCACCCAAAATAGAAAAAAGATGTGATTTTTAAAAAAGATTCTTTTTAGTGAACTGCAGAACCAGCTATCAAATTGAATTAGCACATGGACTCATGCTATAATTTGTATATGCTTTTTTAGACACATGGCAAAAATTGTGATAAATGTATGCGACTCAGGTTACATTGGTGCTTTGACAGGTTCAAAGTGATGATCAAGGTCATATTTTCTACAATTTTGGAACAGTTGCCTAAATCAGGTATGCACGTATCTATAACATGGAAGAGATATTTTCTGAAAAGTTGCTTAAATACAGAATTAAGCATCCTATCAATTATTTCAGAGCCAATCTCAACCTATATCCTTTCAATTATTTCTCTAGACTCTACGTCTTACTGTTGCAGGAAATGAGAGAAGCTTGGAAATGTATAGCAACTTTTCGTTTGCCATCAGCACACCTTGATTTCTCGGACACATGTTTGATCCAATCTTGGTAGCATGTTTTTTTATAACTATCTTGGTAGCGTGTTGATCTTTGGTTAAACTTTCATGTGCTTCCTTGATTTTGGAACGGATGGTTTGCAGCATTTCATTTATTGCTGCCAATTTTTATTTTTAGGACTTTTCAGGCGGTGGGTAGTTGTTAATATAACCTATTTCCCAGGTTTGTGTTGTAATTTCTTCGGCCTTGATCGGGAAGGTAGTCATTCTACTTGTGACTATTGTGATAACTTTTAGATGTAACAATATATATAGGCTACGAATTATGATAACTAATAATATTTTGAAAGTTTATACCTTTGTGCCGAATCTTATTATTAGTCTTTTTTTGGGCAAAAGGAGTCTTATAAATTATAATTAATCTGACTATGTTGACATGCCCATACCTGTGGTGCTTTAATATTTGAGCATCGGTACTGAAAGTTTTTTGTTTACTGAAATAATGGCTCACTTGCATCAGTATTGATATTTCAGTTGACTCTAGGTGATTTTTGGGAATAAATAGAACACATGTTCATATTTATATGATCGCCTGATCAGGATATTATTTTTTTCCCGTTGCACTCAAACCATTTTGGTGTTCTTACAGTAATTTTCTTTTGTTTTCCCATATAGCGCTTGTGTGCTAAAGTCGAACAGATCTGACTTCTGAACTGCCTTGAAGCCAAATGCGGTTCTTGCTATTCTGCAAGTTTTGTATTTAGCAGAAGTGAAATAATGTTGTGACATCAGTGGCACCACTGGAAGCTTCAGTTCTAGCTGACACAGGTGAAAGCATTAAGCATTCATTATTTCTTTCCTCTTTTAAAGACAAGATATTAATATGAACGTCGTGTTTTATGTTTTTAAGGTAGCACAAAAAGAAGAGTTGAACAGAAATATGTGCTGTTGAGCAGAGCAGGAGGTGTTCGGAATCAGTTTCATAGCTTGTCCTTTGACATGGTCAGAGATCAAGCAAAAGAGATTTCACACATAAAAATAACTTTGGTCAAGGTAGGCACCACTGGATAAGACTTATGCTCTTACATATAATTTCTATTCTCCATGCAAACTTGTTTTCATAGCTTCATGGTACTCTTTTCCAATTACTACCTCATGTAAAAAGTAATCATTTCATCGAGGATTTTTTGAGGGGGGGTTGAAAAACAAAGTCTAGGTTGTAAAGAGTTATATGGGCTATGCCATATGCCATTAAGTGAATGAAGGGGCATTTGGAATTGTAGTATATACTGACAAAGGGCTTCCTATATTGTCATCATCAATTTGAGGTATGAAGAAAAGGCCTTGTGTAAAAAGTAATCATTTTATCGAGGATTTTTTTAGGGGGTGGGTGAAAAACAAAGTCTAAGTTGTAAGAGTTATATGGGCTATGCCATATGCCATTAAGTGAATCAAGGGGCATTTGGAATTGTAGTATATACTGACAAAGGGCTTCCTATATTGTCATCATCAATTTGAGGTATGAAGAAAAGGCCTTTGTGATTTCGTTTATAGAGTGAATTTTAATTTAGCTTGTGCGGATAGTATTTATTGCAGTGATTATGAACATTTCACAGTTCTAACATGATCTTCGTTGCTACGATGCATTTTTTACAGGATGCGGTTTCTGAGAATAACTTTCCCCAATAATGCTTATGGATGCTGTTGGGATGGATGAATGTGCCATTGGAACATGGCCTCAGCATACAAGGTTTCACTCACACGATGCTGCTTGAGTGGAGCTCAGTCTCACAGAGTTCAACGCTAGGTGCTGAAGTCATATAGCAATTGTGTATGATTATTCTAAATTTCTTTTAGAAGGAATGTATAGCCGCTTGTCTTATATGAAATAATTAAAAATGGAGTAAGCTATCAATAGCTATCAATACATTTGACTGACTATTGTTTGAGCTGGAAAAAATTGAGGCTTAGTGCATCTTATGCTTATTAGTGCACTATTAGTGCTCTGTTTCATTAAGAGCTAAAATTGACTAGCTCAATTTAGCTGTCAAGTACTACTATAATTTAAATGTCAATGTCGGTATTTAATTTCACATTATTGTTATTTTATCGTGCGATCCGTGTGTTTTTAGTACAAAAGTTTAGCTGTCCCGTAGCAACACACAGACATGCTTGCCTAGTACAGTACAGTGTAAATACTGACCATTCCGTAACTTCAGCCTGATCGCACCTACGTACAAGTCAAAGGTGCGCCAGATGAATGTATAGCAGCCAGGATGGCATATGTTGGATATGGTTAAATACATTTCCTCTGCCCATTTCAGTCAACGAAGGATTTTGCCATGGCCAGTCAAAGTTTACTTTGATGATCTGCTAGACTTAGTTTAAACCAAAATAAAATAGTCTCACTGATGAATACTAACGGTCTGGAACATTACAGATCTATAATGATAGATTAGAAATACATGGACAAGTCGTGCCAAAATATATTTCCCACCTTGACTGAATCTCTTCAGATAATGTTCCCTGTCCCATGACTGAAAACGAAGAACGTACTGAGCTGGTAAATAATTTGATATACTTTTTTGTTCATATGAATATTATAGCTAACCCCTGGTTAGTAAGTGCAGGCATCGCCAATTTATTGTCAATGGTTGGTAAGGTGTCGATAGAGTAAATATCGATCGGTTCGTGGCTAACAGGTAAAATTTCATATACCTATCTGCACTCGTAGGTAACATTCGGTAATCGGTACACGTGTACATGTACCCATCAGGGCATCCATACTAACGGGTAAAACGACATATCCACATGTATAATTCGTGAGTAGAATCTTATATCCGTACTATAATTTGGTAGCCACACCTCCTTCGGACACAATACCAGCAGATAACCACAGCCGACCCCTAATCATTGGAGACCATACCCTGATGGACATCTGAATTTCCGATGCATATCAAATCGTGTTTCGCCCAGCCCAGCAAGATCACGCGAGAGAGGACTTCTGTCACTCTCTGGACCTCTCTTGCCAAACGTGTTCCCCCCGTCACTATGAATTATGATGAGCCGATGTCCTGATGATAAATTAAACAGTTTTTTCATAGAGTTTGATCCTAACGTAACCAGAAGAGACAATAAGCCTGTTCTAACGTAACCAGAAGAGACAATAAGCCTGTTCGATGGTTGGTTTCTGGGCTAATAAGCCCGACTGGTGCTGGTTTGTTGTGAGAGAAAAATATTGTTGGCTGACTGATAAACCCTGCCTAAAATCAATAAGCGAACAGGCTGAACATTGCGATAGAGCGAGGAGCCCATGTACTCAGGCCCTGTTTAGATCCCACTCAAAATCCAAAATTTCCCAAGATTCCCCGTCACATCGAATCTTGCGGCACATGCATGGAGCATTAAATGTAGGTAAAAAGAATAACTAATTGCACAGTTTGTCCGTAATTGGCGAGACGAATCTTTTAAGCCTAAATAGTCCATAATTGGATAATTTTTGCCAAATACAAACGAAAGTGCTACGGTGTCAATTTTCCAAACTGGAAGGGATCTAAACAGGCCCTCAATATAGTACTAGTAGTGCATTTTACTTCCAAAATAGTAGTAGTGCCAGGCCATGGCCAATATGACACGGCAGCAAGGTAAGAACAAACAGACAGACTACACGGTTACACGGATCACTGCTACAAGCTCAAAAAGGACGAACACAGAGCAACAACATATAATAATCATCATCTTCTTCAAATCGCAAACGACATGAAGCCTTGAGAATACTGAAATACTCCCTTCTTTATTTCTTTCTCGCGTACGGTACGGTGTGATCTCCTCTTGCCTCTTGGCGCCGGCCGGTGGCGTCCGTCCTGCTGCTTAGCAGATGGGCAGGGGCTTGCCGTCCCACTCCTTGAGGCATTCGAGCATGGGGTCGATGAGCTTGCCCTCGCTGAGCGCCAGGAACACCTTGTTGCACTCTTCGCCGGGGGACTTGAGCTTCTCGCCGGTCAGGTACACGGCGCCGAGGTCCTGGCGGATGAAGCGGTACAGCGGGTACGACCGGCTCTCCTTGATCCTGTTGGCGATGGGCGCGGTGCCCGTCTCGAACGCCACGCGGGCGGCCTCCATCTCCCTGGGCAGCGCCTCCCGCAGCGCCTCCTCGAACCTGTTGATCTTGGAGAACACGGACGCGCTGGCGTCCTTCTCGGCCTCGCCGCTGGCGAGGGCGTGGTCCACCAGCACGGCGCGGATCTTCTTCATCAGGGGCGAGTTGGCGCTGCAGGGGTCGTCGTAGTACCCGTACACCGCCTCGCGGTCGATGGCGGTGAGCAGGGCCTTCTCGCTGAAGCGCGCGCTGTGGAGGTCGCCGTCGAGGCTCGTGGTCAGCACCTTCCGGGCCACCGCCATCACGCAGTTCTTGACGGTGCTCTTGAGGTTCTCCTCGAGGTGGCGCAGGTCCACGGCCTGGCACAGCGCCACCATGTACGTGGACGACATCAGCTTGAGGATGTCCACGGCCTCGGCGGTCTTCCTGGCGGAGACGAGGCCCAGGGAGTTGACGTCCTGGTTGTGCTGCTCCGCGCTCTGGACGTGGTTGGTGATGGGGTTCGCCAGGTACTGCAGCTCGGAGCAGTAGGACGCCATGGCGATCTCGGTGCCCTTGAACCCGTAGTCCAGGCTCGGGTTGCGGCTGCCGGCCAGGTTGGAGGTCAGCCCGTTGTTGTAGAACTCGTTCACCAGCTCCGAGAACTGGGCGAACATGAGCTTGCCGATATTGGCGATGGCGAGGCGGGCGTTGTCCATGGACACGCCGATCGGGGTGCCCTGGAAGTTGCCGCCGTGCAGCGCCTTGCCGCGGTGGACGTCGATGACCGGGTTGTCGTTGACCGAGTTGACCTCGCGCTCGATGGACTTGGTGGCGGCGCGGATCACCTCGATCTGGGGGCCCAGCCACTGCGGCGACGTGCGGAGCGCGTACCTGTCCTGCTTCGGCTTCAGCAGCGGGTCCATGGCGTTCACCTCCTTGGCGTGCTTCATGAAGGAGCTGCCGTCCAGGATGTGCTCCATGATGGCGGCGGACTCGATAGACCCCGGGTGGTGCTTCAGCTTGTGGGTGAGGTGGTCGGTGTACTCGGGCTTGCCGTTCATCACCTCGCAGAAGACGGCGGACAGGACCGAGGACAGGACGGCGAGGACGTTGGCGTCGAAGCACACCATGGCGGCGAGCGCCGACCCCACGGACGTGCCGTTGACGATGGCCAGGCCCTCCTTGGGGTTGAGCTTGAAGAAACCGCCCTCGATGCCGGCCATCTTGAACGCCTCGGCGGCGTCCACCTTCCTCCCGTCCACGGTGACGGCCTGCGCGTTGGGGCGGCCCGTGATGAGGCCGGCGATGTAGGACAGCGGGACGAGGTCGCCCGACGCCGTGATGGTGCCCCGCAGCGGCAGGCACGGGCTGACGCCGGTGTTGAGGAGCTTGGTGATGGCCTCGAGGATCTCGAAGCGGATGCCGGAGTAGCCCTGGAGGAGGGTGTTGATGCGGACGAGCATGGCCGCGCGCGAAACCTCAGACGGGAGCGTGTGGCCGTCGGAGCCATTGCCGAAGATTCCGGCATTGAGATGTCTGGTTCGATGCGTTGCAGGGGAGAAAACAGATCGAGCGAGCTTATCAGAAATTCAGAATTAATGAGCTGCTGACAGGCATCATCGGCAGCAGCAATTGCAAGTTGCAACGACCGGCCGGACGGTCGGTCGTTGCCAGTGGGCACTCATCACTGACTCACATGAATCATTTGACGCTGCAACGACTCCGCTGACAAATATACTTTACTGGAACAGCAAGTAAGCAGAGACGTACACGTGGTCTCGTGAGATTGGCAGTAGTAGTACAGTACCTGAGCAGCTCGACCTGGAGCGCGGGCCCGTCCTTGGTGCGGCGGTGCGAGGTGCCGCCGAAGCCGGTGGTGACGCCGTAGATGTCGCCGCCGTGGGCGATGCAGTCGAGGATCCACTCGCTGCTGGCCTTGACGCGGGGGCGCGCCTCCTCGTCCAGCTCGACGGCCACGCCGGACGCGTCCTTGGCCGCGGCCACGGCCGCCACCTGGCCGACCCGGAGGGTGGAGCCCTCGATCTTGACGACGGGGTCGCGGAACTGCGCCACCATGCGCTTCACCTCGTCGAGGTGGCTCCCCGTCAGCTCCGCGGCCGCCTTGCCCCAGTTGAGCGGGTCGCTTTCGAGGATGGCCGTGTTGCTCGCCATTTGGACCGGGAGGAGGAGATGCGTAGTGCTAATGCGGACGACGGTGGTGGAAGAAGAGCTCGGGAGGCAGTGGTGGTGGACTCTGGAGCTCTTCTTGGAGGGAAATGGAGCGGGGGCGAGGAGGTTATATAGGTGGCATTAGATTAGCGATGGCAGCGGAGGCCAGGGGGGTTAGGTGAGGCCGGGTGTTGGTGGGTTAGTTGGCGACCGGGTTGGTGAGTTGAGTGGATCTCTCATCCCAGAGTGGAGTGAGATTCTTTTTTTCTTTTTCTCTCTCTTGACAGGCCAGAGTATGTGCGTGCAGGACTGCAGGTGACTGTGTATTGACATTGTTGAGCTGAGGTGCTCTGAAGTCTGATCTAGTGTGCGTTGGTTAGGCCCTGAAGGGTAGGTAGCGATGGAGGCAGCCCAACTACAGCGTGACTCAGTCTCCGGCAGCCGTAGAACCCATTGACCTGATTGATTAACCCACGGGCGCCATCTGATCCTTGCCGAATCCATGCTGTTTCTTTAAAAGAAAAACTAAATTTCACCAGAATGTTTTGAGGCTTAATAAAGGAACTTTAATGTCATAGATTCATTACCTCAAGATTTGTGCTCTATGATGGTGAGCACATATGGCAAGAAAAATCAAGTACTCCTATTTTTATATCCCGTGAATCGGCCCTGTCTCGGGCAATTCTTGCATCGAAAGGCACTCTCCTTTCGAAGAAGAAATGGAAATCTTAACTTGTCAATTTCTCGCAATATTTTTTTCTATTTTTGGACTCAACCACAAAGGATTCGTCTAAACCAATTAACAAACTCTTGCTTCGATTTTCTAGGGTACCTTTCAAGTGTACCAATAAATACTTTGTTAGTAAGGAATCAAATGCTGGAGAATTCTTTTCTAATAGATACTTAAATGAAAAAATTCGATACCACAGTCCCTGCAACTCCCCTCGTTGGGGTCTAAAGTGATCACTTTAGCTCTTGAGCTTCAAACAGGAGGTCTAAAGTTTAGACCACCTCACAAAATTTTAGACCACAGAAGTGAGCTAAAGTGGTCTAAAGTTTTAGTCTTCAGCTTTAGCCATTAAACTTTTGACCAATGAATCCAAATAGGCCCTAACACATGAATATTTGTTTATACCATAGTTAGGTTTTTTAAAGAAAATATATCCTTATATATATCCTTATATTACTTAGAAAAGTTATTACATTCCGGAGCAACTGTCTGTTGCACAAAATCACCATAGTTAGTTACCGTTGGTTTACATTGAAATTATACATAATTTACACATATGTAGTTTTTAGTAAATATGGTGTAAAAAGTGTGGTGTCATAACCTCTCCTAGCACTCATTGTTTTGTTAGCACAAAGTTAGACTTAAAACTAATTTGAGACAAAGAACTTAAAATTGAATGGCAATAAATAAAAAAGGGCAAAACACTGTTGTGGAACTTGTTTATTCCACATGAGATTTATGCAAACTTTACATTCATTTCATAGCATGGCATGGAAATGGACAGTTAAGGAAGTGAAACTGCATGCACATGTGATTGGGGATGCATGTGTTAGCAATGCAAGTGGAAATAGCCCCTGCTAGCACTCAGCGCTCCTCTCCCTCTAGAGGTTGTTTGGCTGCACTCTACTTCATCCCAATCCATATAGATTGAGAGAAATTGGGGTGAAAAATAATCTCTTCGTACCCATGTGGATTGGGGTGAATCAGAGTACAGCTAAACAAGCCAATGTATGCGCTCATGTGGATGACTTTTACATCAACATCTTTGGTCACATAGAACAGAAGTAATTTTACATTCACATCAACACTTCTGATCTCTTGTGGCTAAACATCATCTCAACAATCTATGGTGAGTTCCAATTCATTTTGCAAAAGAAAAAAAAACTCAATCTCTTTTGTAGGAGGTTTCATGTGCTTCTATTTATATGTGTGTGGGTATTGTTGGTCATCCTTGTCTTGGTGGTTTAGCTATGGATATCAATTTTCACTTGGTGAACCGGAGAAAAGAGATGCTAAAAGTTGAGATGGACACAACTTTCACTATTCCATCGTGGACTTATATTCACTTTGGATACCAATTTTCACTTGGTGAACCGGAAAAAAAAGAATGAAAGCGAGCGAGCGGTCACGTTTGCAGGTGCATGCGCTCTCTCACCAACCCTCCTTCCAACCCCGGCCCGGTGTGGCGGTGTCACATCGATCAAACAAGCAGCAAGGAGTCTCGCTCCCACGGTAGGCCACCGATTTTGGTTTGGATTGGATACCAGGTTTCTACGGTGGTATCACGGAGGCGTTGATTTTTGAACGGGACGCGTGGGGCACAGGCACGCATATATACGTGCGGCGCTGCCACTGGATCATCACCACCGTGTCCGTACCCGGTACCGGAGCACGTTCCGGTTGGGTGCCCCGTCGATCGCTGGCGCGCGCGGTCACGTAGCCGCGAAGCCAGCTCGGGCTCGGCGGACGGGGATCAAGATCGATCCACGGGTCTCACCAACCCAGAACGAGAGGGAGAAGCAACGGGCCGGCCGGGGGTGGCTGTCGATGTCGCTGCTGCTGCTGCTGCCCCGATCCCGTTTTCTCGCTGTCGCGAGACGGCCAGGGTTGTTGGGACCTCGATCGGGCGCCCCTAGCTAATAATTGTCCTCGTTCAACCAATAGGAGAGACACTGCCCTTTGCTTCGGTGCGTCGTGGCGGGCCTTTTCGTTGTCGGTCATTTCGTGACCGACTTCGTGCTTTCGCATATGTAGCGTCACGGGCCGCCGTCCTCGTCCTGCTACAACAGTACTGACAGTCGACACTGGTGCTTGCTTGTCTGCGTTTAATGCCCCCCTCTTCTTCTTCTTCTTTTTTTTTTTTTGCAAGAACGGGTTAGTTGTATGGAGCGGACGAGGTGTCATGCACATGCGGTCCAACCCGGCCGTGCATCACATGTATGTAGGGCCTGTTTGGTACTGAACCAGGCTGGCGGGATGCAGGGTGCCCTCGTTTGGTTGCCTGCTCCTGACGTCGAGCCAGGCTCTGGGCGTGCAAAAGCACCCCGCGGCCAGGCTCTGGGGGCCGTTTCTCCTAGGCCAGGCTCGTTCGGTGCAGCTGTTTACTAGACTAATGATGTATTAGTATATGATTAGTAAATATCAAGTGATATTAATTTGTTTTAAAGATGTTTAAGACATAATTAGATAAAATAAAATCTTTAAGAGTGTATTTGTACAAAATAAAAATCATAATTATAACCTTATAATATTTTTATCCCATGCAATATATCTTCGTACAGCCAACCAAACAGCATCTCTTCTCAACCAGGCTGAGTAGATACACTCAACCAAACATGACAGCGTTACATGTGCTCAGCCTGTCCCATATAAGCCTGGCTCTCAGATACGAGCCAGGCTCTACTGCTACGCGAACCAAACAGGCCCTAAGTAACTGGTTGCATTGCATTGCATTGCATTTGTGTGTAACTATATTTAATTTGCAACTTGGAAGTTGGAACTACTATAGCTGGGTTTAAAAGTTTTGGGTGAGATAGGTTCGGAACGAGACGCCTGCGGTTGGCCTACAAATTTGTAGCCGCGTGCTTTTTTGTTTCCACCGTGTGATAGAGTCTAGTGACCATCCCTGGTGTAGAGCGTTGCACCAAACCTCTACTAAAGTACTAAAACTTTGAATTGAATAAAATAAATTACCAGCAGCCGTCTTATATTACCAACCTGGGTTCTTAATCTTATTTTTTAACCAACATTAATTTGGTACTTTGCAGTTGTTTCCATCTCAAACAGTGAAATGAAGACGGTAGATCTACGAGGGAAGCGCTACGCTGAAGGAGTAAACATGGGTTTATTGAGCATGTTCGGTCAACAATACATGGATCAACATTGCATAAAAAAAACAATACATGGATCAACATGCTCAAGAACGCACAAAGGAAAGTAGGTGGGCAACGATGGAGAGGGATTAGTCACTTTATTTTGTTTCTGTTTTTCATTTTATTTGACTGTGTAATTATGGTTATTTTTCAGACCAGCTTATTAGAGTTTGCATTGAGCAAAATCTTGACATTACTAATTAGGGACCACTGATAGAGCATCTACATTAATCATCAAAGACGAGCTTAATAAAATAAATATAAATGTCAGAAATTCTCACAAAATTAGAAAGACATGACGATCAATTCAGTAGACTCTCACTGTCATTCTGGAAACAACATAAAGTAAGCATCTAGTTACATCTAAATTATCCACTCTATCATTATGATATATAATCTAAATAACTCCTTAAATTTACATCTAGATTACCACACTATTATGAAACATTATCTAAAATAATCACCTTAATTTGCATCTAAATTACCCACCTAGCATTACAATAGATAATATAAGTATGTCTTAAATATGCATCTAAATCACCATTTATGCTATTATAAAAAATAGAACATCCTTGAATCTACATATATATAACTTACAAACATGTTATTAAAGATGTTTAAATAACCATAGATTATCTATATATGTTTTTAGAATTACCCAGTTCTATTAAGTGCACATGCATGCATAAGTGATAATTATATATATGTTGTGTTTCAGTAATCTAAAAATATTCCTTAGTGGCTCATATTGGTACAGTAAAAGATTATTTAAAATTATATTAATATATATGACAATAGTTTATGTATTTTTTATTTATATAAATTTAGGCATCATTTATCAACTTTCAAGTTCTTTGCCTTGGGCCTAGTATCTTTGATAGTTTGTTTGTTGCTAGAATAAGTGGGTTGCATTGGATATTATTGCTTGCCTATTCCATTTATACTCTCATTGGATCCTTTGTTGAAAAAATGTCACTTCCCTGTCTCCCTCAGCTCTCAAAATCGTTTAAATCACCTTTCTATCCTGATTACAAGTGGTTTTCAAGGTAGTTCCATCATTTTATAGTTTAAAAATAGTAAAGCACGGTAAACACATGATAATTTTTTAACTCATGGAAAAATGTCTCTAAGCTTCTAGAATTCCCAAGAAAATCATAAAGGTACATTGCAACATGATAAACCCCAAAAAATATTTATAGCTTGTGAAAATGTTCCTAGAACCTTTCAACATTTAGATTTAGCTCTAGAAAAATAGGAAAATATCGAAAAAATGTAAATGTGTTTTGAAACCTATCAATAATAAAACATAATACGGAGTATAACATACATTGATGTTGAATGTATTCATGGTATGCAATTATGCTAGTTGCCTCTCATGTATTTTTTTTGTAAAATTTTCAAAACATTTTTAAACATTGACTATAATCTTTTAGTAAATTTTCAAAAAAAATCTAGAGTTTTATTATTTTTCTAGAGCTAGATGTAATTTTATGAAGCTTCTAGAGATATTTCACAAGCTCTAAACATTTTGTTTGGTTTTATAATCTCCCAATACATTGCTAGGATTTTCTTTTGGAAAATTTTAGAAGCTTAAAACACATTTCATAGTTAAAAAACCTTATCAGATGTTTGTCAACTTTTAGCGAAAAAAGAATAAAACCGTCTTGAAAACCATTTCCAACAGGGTAGATAAGCTGTACAATATATTGAGAGCTACAACTTTGGTGTAGGCCACGTCAGCATCTGAGGTCGTTTGAAAGATTAAAAAATTAAATTTCAAAATTAGAGAACTTCAAATGAGTATTTGGGCCTCTAAATGATGCTAGATAAAAAAGTTATCAATTACAAAGTTATAGACATTATTTGGAACTACAACTTTAATATAGACTATGTCAACATCAAAGGCCCTATTAAAAAATAAAAAAATTTAAACTTTAAAATCTAATAACTTAAAATGAATATTGAGCCTCTAAAACATATTAAATAAAAATGTTTATCAACTACAAAGTTGTAGATCATATCAAGCTCTATAAACTTGATATAAAGTTTATATTCATACGACTTCATATGAAAAAATTATGCTTTCTTATATATAGAGAGAGAGAGACCAAGTCATAGGCAGATCCCACTAGCACGTCAGCAAACCATCGAAGAAACCACTTTGAAATGATCAAGATGTACTTTGTTAGGTTTTTAAAGTTAAAGTGTGTATGTTGTCTCATATTGAAGTTCGAGAAATCTTTTAAATTCAATGACTAGATAAAGGGGTGAGTCGGACTTTATTAATCTAAATACTTTTGAGAGCTGAGAGAGGTAAGGTGTTTGGTTTTATAATTTGACGAGAAAGTCTAGACACCTCTTATAAAGTTCATTCATCAACAGGTAAAATCAACATTTCCCTTCCTTCAAAAAAAAATCCAACGTTTCCCTCCTATATTTCTGCCCAAAATTAGGCCGACTGTGCCTACTAGGTCGAGATGGCGTTTTCTTGTGACAGCCTACTAGATGGCCTTGTGGGCTGTTATCGTAACCAGTTCTTTTCAGGCCTGCGTGGCCACGGCGACAACGCGAGATACGGCCCAGACGCCATGAGGCTCATTTCGACGGCGTCGGCGTGGCGAGGAGGTGCGTCCATACGAGCCTACGACTACGAGGCACGCGCTGCCCCCTGCCGTCGACGACTGGTATGGGCACACTGCACCCATGCCGCTGCATCGTGCGGCACGAGCGCCGGCGCACAGGGACGTACGCCACCTGGGCAACGGATTCTCTGGTGCGCAAGATCCCTCCCTCGCCTAGAGCCCTAGACAACAACCGATGTTCGGGCAGTTATTGGAAGAAAGACATGCTATTTCGGCCACGAGTTGCATTGCTTTATTTTTAGGCCTAAACCATTATATACGGAGTAGTTTTAAAAGATTCCTTTCATTTTAACCAGTAGATTTACCCGCTCCTTCTTGTTCTTCTTTGAACTCATTGTTCTAGCTCATCGTCACTCATTCCTCAGCAAAGTCACCACATAAATGGTTCAAAGCCAAGAGACAAATTTCACTATCATGCTCTACCTCTTTATCCAAATTAAACATGCATCTTCTAACTACTTTTGGTGAAACCCGAAGCCTACTCATCTCAATTAACGGAACCATTAACTCGCTCAACTGATGAACTCAAAGAAATGCACACATTATTGCTAATGTTTCTGACAATTTTATCATCAAATGAAAGGAACGAATTACATGCTAATGCCTGAACGTCTTTGGATAATCCCCGAGGTTGTTGCATGCTTTAAGTTTTGCCGCTCGTTCCATCAAATTTTGGTCCATCACCACAGCACTCCGTTTGCAACCACGGCTAGTTGCGGTGGCAGGCACGTTATTTCCCGGTTTAGGAACAGGGGTTTTCACGTTGACGTTTCTGTTAGCATCCTTCGGAGATGAAGTTGCTCTTAGCGTCTAGTGTGGCCTCGCCTTGTTGCTAGCAATAGCATCCGCGGCTAGTGGGCTCAAGTGCCACTATTGGCCGCAGCGCAGCCAGTGCCCAGTGAACCGCTCACTCCGTTCCAAAATAAGTGATGTTTTTTACTTTCAGACACGTTGTTTGACTGTTCGTCTTATTCAAAATTTTGGTATAAATATTATCTATTTTATTATGACTTATTATATCATTAGAAATGCTTTAATAATGATTTATTTATTTTATAATTTGCACAAATTTTTTTGAATAAAACGAATGGTCAAACATGATGTTTAAAAGTAAAAAACGTCACTTATTTCAAGACGGAGGGAGTATGCCTCAATTCCGTCACGGCTATTCGAGTAGTTAGCCAAATTACCATCACTGTAAGTATCATCATTGGTTGCGTGCGCAACCATTATTTAGTTCCCGTAGTGCAATTTTACTTCTGTTTACTTACCCACACAAGATGAATCTAGATTTTTTTAGAAAGGGCGGCAAAAGCTTTGCCATATTTTTATTGGACAAGGAAAAAGGAAAACAAACAACAATTTACAAAAACACAAAAGAGCTAGAGATTACACTACATCGGCTCGCAGGCGGACCACCCCACTGAAAACAAAAACCTTTGAAGGGAGAAGACTACTAAAACCACCGCCCAAACACCTCGAAAACAAGGCAAAAGAAAACACCCTGGATTACAAAAACACCCTGGGAACACAAGAACACTCGACTACAACTAAATGGCATTAGCATTTGGCCTATGAGCCAACTGGAATTGCTCTATGTCCTCCTAGATGTATCGAGATTTGGAACCGAAGAGTATAGATAACTATCAAGTTGGCCCGTGCAAATGGCGCGGGGAGCTAGTTTGCTTATTGTACTATTTAATTTTTTTATTTTAATATCCTTTTTTTAAATAGTTTCATTTATTTATTTGATTACAATTGTTTTATGTCAATTTTCCTTTTATCTATTTGCATGAACTTCAACTTTGACTAGCTAGTGTCATCTTTCTCGTCTTTTTCCTTTTTTCTATTATAATCTCCTGACTAAGCAATTTCTGCCGAGGCCAAATCAAGTAGCCTTTGATCTCATCTTAATGAGATCCATTGGAGATAAAAACCACTTTCAAAGTCTTTATCTAGTTCCTTAACTCTCTTATAGATTTAAATTTTAGATGATCTTGTTTCTTCTATTATGGACCTAATAATGCTTTACATGACTTGGCGCCATCCTTTAGGAGCCTGACACCACCATTTAGTTCTACGTAATCATGAGTTAACTTAATAGACAACTTATACAATGAATTGTCCTATTAGTTGTATCATGATAACTCACATTCCTTAATTTGTGCATAGAATAGAAGGAACCTTGTGAGTTACACGACAATCATAACTCATACAATGGTGTCGGATTTAAAAAAAAATCTTCCGCTACTACTGTGCTCGGCTGCCGGTGCTTACAATGGGTGTGTTTGGGACAGCATCCCAGCCACCGCGCTGTGCTAGATCTGTACCGCGACCTCCTCCACCCTGCGGTAAAAAAAATGCTATAGCTAGTTTAATCTCGCGGCCTTTATCTTCATTAGTGGAAACAATCATCAGTTCTAGCGTGGTGTTTGAAATAGTGTTTGGTGGGATTTTCTCGATTCTCGTGATGGGACGACCACATATTTGATTTTAAGTGGTGCTAAACATGCCCAACATTGAAGACACTGCGTATCACACAGTGAGCTAGCGTACGTTCAGCAAAACCGCAACTAGGATTCCTTCTGTTCTGTAATCTGTTTATGGCTGCAACCAGCATCGGGAGCATCGAATTCTAAATTCGATGTCCTGGTGTATCTGGCGACATTTATGTTATGTTTTCAGTTATCACCTGCCAGTTTTTGTTACACTCCAGGATGGATGACCTGTTTATTTCTGGACCGCCAGACTCAGCTGCTTCACAGCTTTGTTTTTCATCCACAATACGAAATGCAGCATACGTTGCCAAATGCCAAGCTACGACTGGTTTAGAAGTACGATGCGCCTGTTCTGCAACAAAAATATAATTTTCAGTCGGAAACAAAAACAATAACTACAATGACAACAGTAGGTGCCAATGCGCTGTACTAGTACTATCTGATTATCTGAAGAACCAGACAAAAGTATAGTACTATCTGACGTTGGAAATGAAAATTTTATGTCACGCTGTACCCTTAACTTACATGAACACTAGTTCCAGGGGCTGCCACTGCAAACATGGGCAATGGTGCTGCAGCCCGCAAAGAGCTTTACAAACAGTAACTCCACACAAAACACAAGGAACAGGACAACAACACGCATCTGAACACCTTGAGGAGGACCCTGGGTAGGCCTCATCAGTCAACACTCTGAAACTCGCTAGTATCTCTGTACTGTCTTCACTTCATCTCCTCGGGATCAGGAGCACGGCCACGGCCATGGCCCCTCTGTTCAGCAGATCGCCAGGGGCTCACCGTTCCACTCCTTGAGGCACTCGAGCACGGCGTCGATGTGCTTGCCCAGGTTCATCGCCACGAACACCTTGTTCACCTCCTCGCCGGGCGACCTCGTCTTCTCCCCGGTCAGGTACTCCGTGCCGAGCTCCTCGCGCACGAACCTGTACAGCGGGTACGACCGGCACTCGGCGATCCTGTTCGGGATCACGGCGGTGCCGTTCTCCACGGCCGCGCGCGCCGCGTCCACCTCCCGAGGCAGCGCCGCGCCGAGCTCCGCTTCGAACGTGGCGAGCTTGGCGAACACCGAGGTGTCCGGGTTGCGCTCGGCCTCGCCGTTGGCCAGCGCGTGCTCGACGAGCACCGACCGCATCTTCTGCATCAGCGGGTAGTTGGCGCTGCAGGGGTCGTCGGCGTAAGCGAACACCGCCTCGCGGTCGATCGCCGTGAGAAGGTCCTTCTCGCAGAAGCGCGCGCTGTGGAGGCCCCCCGTGGCGCTGGTGCTCAGTGTCTTCTTGGCCACCGTCATCACGCAGCTTTTCACGGCGCTCTTCAGGTTCTCCTCCAGGTGGCGCAGGTCCACGGCCTGGCACAGCGCGATCAGGAACGTCGACGACATGAGCTTCAGTACGTCGACGGCCTCGGCGGTCTTCCTGGACGAGATGAGGCCGAGGGAGTTGACGTCCTGATTGTGCTGCTCCGCGCTCTGGACGTGGTTGGTCACGGGGTTGGCCAGGAACTGGAGCTCAGAGCAGTAGGACGCCATGGCGATCTCGGCGCCCTTGAAGCCGTAGTCCAGGCTCGGGTTGCGCCCTCCGGACAGGTTGGACGGCAGGCCGTTGTTGTAGAAGTCGTTCACCAGCTCCGAGAACTGCGCGAACATGAGCTTGCCGATCGCCGCGATGGCAAGCCTGGTGTTGTCCATGGACACGCCGATCGGGGTGCCCTGGAAGTTGCCGCCGTGGAGCGCCTTGCCACGGGAGACGTCGATGAGCGGGTTGTCGTTGACGGAGTTGATCTCGCGTTCGATGGACTTGGTGGCGGCGCGGATGACCTCGATCTGAGGGCCCAGCCACTGCGGCGACGTGCGGAGCGCGTACCTGTCCTGCTTCGGCTTCATCAGCGGGTCCAGCTCGCCGAGCTTCTTGGCGAGCATCATGTAGGAGCTGCCGTCCAGGATGTGCTCCATGATGGCCGCGGACTCGATCTGCCCCGGGTGGTGCTTCAGCTTGTGGGTCAGGTGGTCGGTGTACTCGGGCTTGCCGTTCATCACCTCGCAGAACACGGCAGACATGACCTCGGCGAGGACGGCGAGGACGTTCGCCTCGAACAGCACCATCGACGCGAGCCCAGAGCCGACGGCCGTGCCGTTCACCATGGCGAGCCCTTCCTTGGGCTGCAGCTCGAAGAAGCCGTGCTGGATGCCGGCGATCTTGAACGCCTCCGCGGCGTCCACCTTCCTGCCGTCGGGCGCCACCGCCGTGGAGTTGGGCCGGCCGGTGACGAGTCCCGCGATGTAGGAGAGCGGGACCAGGTCGCCCGACGCGGTGATGGTGCCCCGGAGCGGCAGGCACGGCGTCACGTTGGCGTTGAGCAGCGCGGCGATCGTCTCCAGGATCTCGAAGCGGATCCCGGAGTAGCCCTGCAGCAGGGTGTTGATGCGGACGAGCATCGCGGCGCGCGTGGCCGCCGCCGGCAGCACGTGGCCGTCGTCACCGGTCCCGAACGCTCCGGCATTAAGGAATCTGTATATAGTAACAAAACACAAAAAAAAACGTGCGACACAGGTAAGCAAGCCGTCTTATTAATGATTACATTACAGCAAACAATTTACCGTTGGGAGGGAGTGTAAATAAAAACTAAAAATAATCCTTGTCTGATTGCTTACCGGATGAGCTCCCTCTGGAGAGCGCCGCCCTCCTTGGTTCTCCGGTGGGAGGTGGCGCCGAAGCCGGTGGTGACGCCGTAGCTGTCGGTGCCGTTCATCATGCTGTTCATGACCCAATCGCTGCTGGCCTTGACGCGGCCTCGCGCGGACTCGTCGAGCTCCACCCTGGCCTCGCCGGCGGCGGCCACGGCGGCAACCTGGGCGACGGTCAGGCTGGCGCCCTCGATCTTCACCAGCGGCCTCCTGTACTCCTCCACCATCAGCTTCACGGCTTCCAGGTGGCTCCCGGTCAGGTCCTCGGCCGCCTTCACCCAGTTGAGGGGGTCGGCCGCCCGCGGCGTGGCCAGGCAGACACCATTGCCCCTGGCGGCGGCGACGTGTCCGTTCTCGCACTCCATGTCGAGACGGCAACGAACTAGCACGGATGAGGTAGCAAGTTTTGACTGTGTCTGGAGGAGGCTTGGTAGCTGTGGTGGGTGTCTGGAGGAGACGTGGAGTGCAGAAGAAGAGCTCGAGTACCAGAGGAGGTGGAGGCTCTTCTTGGAAGGGATTGGAGCAGGGAGCGGCATTTAAATAGGCAGCGCAGCAGGCGCAGGGTGGGTGGGGGAGGGGGTTGGTGTGGACGTCGGAAGGGAAGGTGGGCCAGAGTTGACCGCTGGGACTGGTGCGCCCAAGTCGGAGGGAGAGGGGAGAGCACTGACTGCTGACCACACGGTGGCTGCCGGCTCCGGCTACGCAGAAGAGCTGCGCCGTGGCGACTTTACGGCAACCGGCCGTCGGAGTGAGCGGCGTGGCTGTGATGGGCGAGCGCCGCGCGGGTGGGACGGACGGGGGGTTGGTGAGGGAGGAGGAGGAGCAGAGCACGCGAGCACGCACGGCCCTCGTCTTGGGTTCACAAGACGTGTGCAGGCTTGCGTTTTTACCGTTTTCGGGACATTTCGTCCGGACCTTTGCGTTACCGTTAGTTGTGTTCTTGCGTGCCAGATGAAGAAAAAAAACGGTACTCTTGAGGTGGTGGTTGCGTTCAGATTTGCTTTTGCTAACAATTGACAAGCGAACGGTTATCCGTTTCTCCCTTTAAGCATGCGCACCGTGTTGAGAAGCCCGCACAATTTCGGAATCACCATTCTATCCGCTAGTGCTTATGTCTTGTTTTCTACAGAGTATGATTTACACGTATAAATGCAATGGGTTTACAGACTTGATCCGCATTGTCTTTAGTTATTATGTGATTAGATGATCCGAGTCAAAAAGCGTGAAAAAAACCGTTTTATCCACTATGGCTTAGAATCTTGCAACATATATGGTCGTAATGGATTTTTACACTTGATCTGCGTTGTCTTCATTATGTCGGATGGTCGGAAAAAAGCGTGAATAAACCGTTTTATCCTATAGGGTTTAACTCATGCTACGCGACACATAGCTCTATTGTGTCATTTGAGGAGGAAAAACTTACAAGTGTAGCAGATTTACACACTCGACTCGCATTGTCTTTATCCTATCGCACATTTCCACACCTGCTTGAAAACAGCCGACTAACACAACACAACACAACACAAATATAGTAACAATGTAACCGATAATGAGCAAATGACATTCTAGTAGTCATCATAAAAATTGTATATTTAAAAACATGATGCTCCAATCTTATGCCGAGGAACAACTTATATATATACAGGGTCAGGACTAGCCAAGTTCCATAACATCACATGCAGCAATGATTTTTGTGATCTCCGTCGCAAATTAGTGTTTATAGGTAAAGGTAAGCCATGACATAGCAAAAGTGGCATCAATAGCCTTTTAAAACAAAAGATCGATCCATCCCTGCTTATATGAAGTGTACATCTTCAAAAACAGAGACCCACACACGGCGCATAGTACCCTTTTATATTTCTTTTCATGATTTCATATATGGATAATTTAGATTAAGATTAAAGGGTTACTTTAGAATAATTTATATAATAATCATCGCCGGATAATTTAGATTGAGATTTAGGGTGGTTACAATAGAGTATTTTTTATAATGATAGAGGTATGTATTTTTGTTAAAAAAAGAATACATTTAATGATTATTATTTATCTGTATGATGTCATACCATATATATTTAGTTTAAGTTATTTTTACACATTAATAGTACCATAAGTGGGTAATTAGAGACATATAGCAATATGTTATGGTTATTTAAACAATTTTCACAATAATAGATGCTAGTAATTTAGATGTGGTTGGAGATAATATTAGTTTATTTTTAATAATGATAGAAGTGGAAATTTAGATTCAAATTTACGGCGTTACTTATATTATCTACCGGGCTGTGCTTAGGCCGTGCATCGAGCCATGGACGGGCCAGCCAGCCAGGCAAAATATTGATCTTACGCTTCGTAAAACTTTTGGTTCACTTGCGAGTCGTGACCTTTTCAGACGTGCAGTGCAGAGAACTATCACAGTCCAGAGACCCAGACACCCAGAGTTCCCCATGTGTACACGAATAGTATGTAGTTGTACGTACATATATATGAGACGAGACACTGCTGTTGCAGTCAAGGCAAGCTTCCAGTCGCTCGTCACCGGACCAGACACGCTAACGCTGCAGTGGAAGCTTCTCATCAGGAAAAGGGACACACGACACAGAGCTTTGCTCGTTTCTTAATCGGCAGCTAGTGCTGCTGTTACATTCATGGAAATTGTGTGGGACTGAGCTCGAAATGCGAATGCACTCCGATCTGCTGAAGATTCCGGTCTGTGGCCGCATTATGAGCGCGGTCCTGCTGTCGTGTGAAGTTTTATTCTCGGTGCACACGTGACCTGACTGCCGGGGGAAACTTTGCTTAATTTTCTTGGAAATCTTACGCTGAGGTGTCCTCCGTTCAAGTAAAAACGTGGTCATCAGTAGTTCAGTACGCCAAAGACTGGACCAATATGTAATGCACTCGAGATTACGGTGCACCTGCAGAGAGTTTCGGTGCTAAGACTGGATGCATTGATCAAGTGAGGCGAGTTGTGGCTGCAATGAGCCCGAAACTAGAGCATAACTTCCTGTGGTTTCAGGGCACACCGGCCAAAGCCTGCCACCACAGCCACCACAACGGAGTCCGCGCCCCACTTTGTGGCGAGCTTGGCGGCCGCGTCACGAGATGAGCAACCAGTCACCGGCTGTGTTTAGTTGGCGAAATTTAAGAATTTAGCTACTGTAGTGTTTTTATTTTTATTTGACAATTAGTGTTCAATTTTAAATCCGTGATTTTCAACCAAACCGCTATGCTCCTGCCGTGAAATCGCTGGTAACACTTTTTGGGAAAGTTGAACTAAACGTGGCCTAGAACCTGTTTAGTTTCCAAAAATTTTCAACCCAAAATGTCACATCGAATCTTGGGGAGAGAAGAACGAGCGAGACTAGCGCTTTCTAAGTGCTACGGTCAATATGTGCGCTAGGATTCTCGCGACGTTCTTCAACAGGATGTGACACCTCTCGAGGAGCTCTCTGCTGCTTCCCATGCCTACCCTTCCCACTATTCTATTTTTTATTATTTCCAGCACTAGCGATTTAGAAAAACGACCGATGCTAATGCTAATGCTGATGCTGATTTATTATAAGAGAGAAAAATTATTATATCACTGAAACGGTACTGCTGATGAGCTCAAGCGAACAGGGCCTTAGCCATCCCCGCTGGGAACGCCCTTAGAGGCGTTAGAGCAGCTCCAGTGTATGGACGCGGGGTCGGTTCTATAGACGGGTCCCTCTTTGATTCGACGTCAGCTGTTCCTCCGTCCGCAATATGTAGAAGCGAGCTCGGCTCGATACGTGGGACCCACATAATAAAAAAAAATGACCGTCATTTTTCTTCCCGCAGTGTTGGACCCACGTAATATATTTTTTTAATGTGAAGGGGTGAGTTCGATGGCTAGGAGCCAGTGCTCTATGAAGACAACCCTATAGTGTATAGGACCGAGTTCCATAGATGCATTAAATGCACCGAACCGGCGTAGACCCATACACTGTGGGTGCTCTTAGCTTTTCTGATTTAGACTTTTTAACAGCACCAGTCGTTCACGACTGTCGCTTCAGTTTCAACAAAGGTACAGTGCCACGCGGAGCGCTAAGCATGATCACAAAGGATTTTGGGAAGATCTGTAGCTTTGGCACCACCAGTGACCCAACGATATGCCATGTCTGCCAATTTGCCAGGGTACAGTTTAGTTTGCAAAAAAATTTACAAAATTTTTCACATTCCTCGTCACATCGAATCTTTGGACGCATGCACGAAGCATTAAATATAAATAAAAAATAAAACTAATTACACAGTTTAGACGAAATCCACGAGACGAATCTTTTAAGCCTAATTAAATTATGATTGGACACTATTTACCAAATAACAACAAAAACACTACCGTACTCATTTTGCAAAATTTTTTACATCTAAACAAGCCCCTAGGTCGAAATCGAGCATACATTCTTGCGTTCCGTGTTTCCATGCGGCCGTGAGCCCGTGGCGCGTCGCGACCGCGAGCAGGACGGCGCATGTGGGTGCCATTAGGCTATCGTGTTCCACGGCCAGCAGGACGACGGCGGTGATCCTCGCTCCGGTCTCCAGTCCTGGTTCTTCACACGGCGGACAAGAAAGAAGAAACGCGAAGGGGAAAGGGACGACCGGACAGACGAGCGAGTTGTACCTCTGGTCTTGCGCCGGGTGGTCGGTCATCTGCATGCACACTATGCATCCACCACCCATTCTAGTGCAAGAGAAATTACCTTGGCTCTGCTGTAAACTCACACTTTTTTTTAGGGAAATTACTAGCTAGACTAGACTTGAGTGGTCAAGTCACCAGTCACATGTCTGGTCCAGTGCGCTCATCGCTCATGCATCTAGATCCTCTTCTTCCGACCTGTCACTTGTGCTTGTGCCGGTGTAGGTGCATGGAATTCTCAGAACAAAGGGAAAATGAAATGTTGGAACCTTCTGAGCAACTTTCTATGTAGCCCATCAACTCAAACATACGGAGTACTAGAATCTTATGTTATAGAATATTAAAAATATATCATGGATAAATATAATACATAGTACAATACTAAAAAAATCATTTATCTTTACTCTACCTCTCTATTAATTTCCTAACAATACCCATTTAGGTATTTTCTTCTGCGAAACCCAATAAAAACGCAGACACTCACATACACGAGTGGCACATCATCTAACACTAAAATAGCGCACAAATCTTAGAATAAATCAAGAAAAATACGAACACCCGTGTCAAGTTAAGTACTTGAACCCTAGTGATTAGGTTCTACCACAAGAAACCTAACCAACTAAGCTATACTCAATTCGTTCTCTATAATCTCTACCCAAATGTGATGGATTTTCCAATTACTATATATCAGTTTCATTTTTCGCATTTACC